CCCATGGATGGTTTTTTTTATCTTTTTAAATATTTTCTGATGTTGATGGATGTAAACGTTCCTTCCAGAGTTTGTCACTAGACGGCTGCGATGACGTGGAAATAACGACTTTTATGTAATTAATGTGTTTAAATCGTCCAGCAAAGATTTCTAGATGTTTCTAACTAGAGTTACTCAGAAGCGATGAAGATTTTAAAAGGTAGTACACCCCTCCTCCCTCCCCCCGCTGCCTCATCAGGAGTCAAAGACGTCGTTCGCGAATCCGTCGTTCGTCACATCGAGGCGAAACCGGCGTACCGAGGAACGAGCTCCAAGCTTCAGGGACACGACAGGAAATCACAAAAATACACCGAAAATCAGCGAGAATATTCAGACCAAAAGAAACGAAAACAGAGGCGCCGCCGGCCGCTCGCGCTCATCGACCGCAGCCGACGCGAAAACGAACCCGTCAGCTGGAAAACCTAAAGTCAGAAACAGAAAACGGATCCCCCGAACCCGGCGGAGGAGCAGCCGACCTCCCGCAGCGCCGGGTGGAGGCAGCGAGGGTTCGCTCGAGATCCAAATGCGTTTCTTCGAGCGCAGAAACAAACATTTCAAAACTCGACTTTAAAAAGAAAAAAAATCAAACGGGGGAGGGGGACGTGAAAAATCCTCGACCTCGGAGTCGTCACGGCTGCAACTTTCCCAGAAAACACAAAAACATAAAAGGAATTCTGAACTGGAAAAAAATGTTTTATTATTTTGACAAATGCAGTTGGGAGGGCTGCGTCCACGCCAAACCCCTCCCCCTCCTCCAGCCTTCCTTCATATCACCCCGTCTCCCCTCACCCACCCACACACCCCCATCCTTCAATCAAATCATCTGGCTCAGGACTTCCTGAATCCAACTCCCACTTCCTGTTTCCGTCACTCTGTCTTGCGTTTCATCCCGGGCACCTTCGCCTGGATCCTGTGAACGAATCAGAACAGACGAGCCGTCAGCACGAGAACGAGACACAAACATCAAAGTCGACGTTAAAAATCAGACGTCTGGGCGTGAAATAATCAGGTTTCCCTTAAAAATGTTTTTTGTATAATTATGTGTGGATTTCTTCAGCGCAGCATGTGCTGATCCCACGGATGAGTCATGAGCTGATTCAGACTGCAGCTGAGGGGAGTTCGCTCTTTACTCCAGCAGCACGGAGGAAGTCAGCAAAGGGTTTGGAGCCGTTTGCAGGGAGCGAATCGATGTGTCCGAGTACTCCGATTACATCGTCCTCCCGTCAGTCTCAGAGAGATGCTGAGCTGGGAAACTAACGTGAGCCTCACTAGGAGCAGTGAGGCTCTGCTGCCTGAAACATTCCTGGATGTATTTGTTGGATTTGATCTGACACAGTCGAGCCTTCAGCAGAAACCATGTGACCATCAGTCTTATTGATACGACGACATCAGCAGAAATAAAACTGCAGACAGTGGATGAGTGCGTCCCAACAATCCTCATGAACAGTGAGCTGACAGCAGCTCACGTTTAATTGGTTAGATTTAAAACTGCACTTTTGTCTCAGTCTGCTCTGCAGCTTCTCTTAGGCTACGTTCACACTGCAGGTGAAAGCGCATCAAATCAGATTTTTTTGACCCTCTGCGACCATCTATCCGATCATGGTGTGACGGTGTGAATGCCACAAATTCGATATCTTCAAATCCGATCTGGGTCACTTTCATATGTGGTGCTGAATCCGATACATATCTGATGTTTCAGAAAGCTGCTGTTTGATGGTCATGTCGCATTAAATCCGTTTTTTACGTCACTGACACGAGACAGATGCCAATTATCAGCGCCGGAGAAGACATCGTGAACGCTTCCTGGACATCCATTGAAACTGTTGTGAAGACAACGTTGGAGAAACGTGAACGTTTTATTTGTTCTGTATAATCTGCAGATTCTGACAGAAATCTGCAACTATCCTTTGAAGCAGCGCTCCTCTAAAACAGCAATAAGGATCATTATTAGGTT